AAGGAAAGGAAAGGAAAGGAAAGGAAAGGAAAGGAAAGGAAAGGAAAGGAAAGGAAAGGAAAGGAAAGGAAAGGAAAGGAAAGGAAAGGAAAGGAAATATTCTTAGTAACAGGGTCAAACCTACTGAAGCAGTCAAATCTATAAATGCTTTATAAAAAAAAACATTTGCTTTAAGTCTATACTCATTTTAATGCACATGTTTAAGGCAATATGATTTTAAAATTTTAAAGCAGAAGAACATCRGTTCATCTGACCAAGTGGTTTAACTCTAAATCTGAATAGCCAAAGAGAAGACAAGTGACTGAAACTATCAGGAAGTGCAGTTGACCAAACAACATAAAAAGTAAAATTGGCTTTTCAAACAATCTGTAAACAACACATAAACACGATGTTTAGTATGTGATGTTAATGTATTTATTATGCATCAAATGAAAAGTTACTTGTCTTTGGCACAAATGGTTCTCTACACACAAGCTGTCAAAACATTAACAAGTAAAGCTAGAGAAAGTCATTTTATTAAAATACATTGTGAATGTGGTTTCAAAGTCAGCATAGTTGCATAACTTTAAGTAAGAAAACAATGTCTCGTTTATGATGCAATCAAATAAAAATCCACTGTTTCCCAGAATCAGTCAAGATTAATTTATAACTAAAGAACAAATGTTTTAACCGCTTATTATAAAAATGGAGGAAAAAGTCAGTATACACTGTTTATTGTTTTCCTAAAGGAAGTCAAGTTCAGGTTTGTTTTTGTGACAAACAGCAGAAGAAAAAAGGTTTTGTGTTAGCGCCCTCTGGTGGTCAATACTTTGAAGCTCTTTTATTTCCTCACATCWTGAGAGTCAAATGAGAATAAAACAAAATGTAATCCTTTTGGTCTTAGACTGACAGTTGTTGGGATTTAATCATGGTTTTATTCATATACAACTCCTGATGTAAATTCTAGCTGTTCCTCAACATATTCAGAAAAAAACAATTTAAAAAAACAATAAAGATTACGTCTTATTTTTAATTGTGATGAATAAAAGCATTCCATGGGTACTTAAACTGGCAAAACAAAATGATAACAAGCCAAATTTCTTTGCCGCCAAAGATTTAAACATACATTTAACATCATATTTTTTAAAGAAAACAATCCTGAACATACCCTGTAAACAAACAAATAAACAACATTACATTAGTGCACAATTGGAGGGTTGCTGGTTTAATCCCAGCCTTGACCCAATTAATGTCAGGGGTTTTTAAACAAAGTTCAAAAAAAGTTTGGTTTCAGTTTTTATGTCCAAAACCCTCCTGGAGGAAGCAGTAAAACCAAATAGATTATAAATTCTCGCTTTTATTTATGGAAGCAGTTTTGCCCCGTTTGTGCAGTTCATGAGTGAGAACAGTTTCAGCAGAGGGGATTTTTTTCCTGAGTCACAATGTGAACCAGAGGAGTCGCAACAACTGACTCCTGTGAACTCAAGTGTGAGGGGCTCGGGGGTCCCATCGGTTCAGTTGCCTGCAGGTCCGAGCTGTCAGGGGAATGAGGTGGTGAAAAGACGCAGTGATAACACAACATGACAGAGTAACATGAGCAGAGATGATCCCTCACCTCCTCTCATAAACATCTTTAAACCAGGATTCCCTTGCTGGGATGACACATTCTGCTGTGGTTTTGTGGAATTATTTTAGGTAATAATCTTTTGCCTCAGTAATCCATGCAGCAGCAGTTAGCTGTATCCAAACTAAGCAAACACTTTTAATTGTGTTTGTGTTCATTTGTCAGTTCAGCTGAACATTAATGCATGACTCAGTTTTTATCTTATCAGTTCAAAGGAATGCGATGCTTCAACAACTCAACGTTGAGTTTTTGGTTGTTCAAGTAGCTAAAGACAAAAAAACGACGTGAGCTGAACAATACAAGTGTTTTATTGTCTAAATAACATGTCAGAAGCCCTTCAAATTACTTCAGCCCCACTTAAAGAAGTACCAAGGTTGTGTTAAATCCATGGCCCCGTCCCGGAGCGATGGGGCCAACATGCACCTGTGTGATTAGAGTCGACAGGCTGACCCAGACTTCTGTCAATCTGATGTTCTTCTGCTCGTGTGTCTAAATCCAGGCAGCTTCACAGAAAGCCAATGCCTGATGGTTTGCTCTTATGTTGGGATGCTATTGGCCCTCGGGGGCCTCCTTCACTTTAGCAGAGCAACCCACTGCTTTTTACCTCTGTGAAATGTTTGTACTGTACTAATGTTGTCAATCTGTTGTTGATAATCTGAGCTGGAAAAAACTAATTCATTTACAAAGATGGAAAATGAATAAATCTGTTGTTAAGAGAGAGCGATTTACTGTACCTGCCCACCTTGTTTATCTGATGTTTAAATTACTTTTTTTCTTTCTTTTTCTTCTTCTTATAAAACTGACTGTAAACTCGGGTAAAGAACAAACCATCAGCATCATTTTTGATCATTTCCCAGCTTCAGGTGAGTCAGACAGTCGGTCATGTGACAGCAGGAGGGACAGGTTGGAGACAGCTCATCCTTTCATTGACGATGGTGGTTCTGATGTCTCTGCTCCTGTTTCAGGRTCCAACATGTCCACAGAGACACTCTCTCTGATCACTGATCACACATCTAGTTTTAAACAATTCAAAGTTAAYGAGAATTAATGAGATCTCTTTGTTTTATCAATTACTGCCATTTTCTTTGTGGAGCTGATGTGCTTTGGTTTTGCTCTTTTTACCAATTCCTAATAATATCTTCATTTTGTATTTTGTCATCATTGTCTAACTTTATGACGTGTTTTGCGAAGTAAGGTTTAATATTCCTTCAGCTCAAGATAAAAATTGAAAAGTTTAAAATGCAAATAAATTCACCCTGAAATTAAAAYATGTTTCCATTTTGATGGCATGTGAGTTTCTGTTGACTTAGACAGCAGATTTAAGTCAGTTTGGGGGGGGGGGGGTCAAAGAATGATTGTTATATGAATTTAAAACATTTTTGTCTTATATTGAGTAAGATTTATTTGTTCATACTAAGAAACCAATAAAATATTGGTGCAATTCTTGTTCACCTGAAAGACAAATGTTAAAACACATGACTGTTATGAACACCTCGAGGGCCCCAAAATAAAGGAATTGTTTTATCCAGTAGGTCTATGTTGGACAAACATCTTTGTTTACTCAACCAGGTGCAAACCAAACCTCACTGGACAGTTTTTTTATTTGTTGATTAAGATGAAAGTTTCTGGTGTGTTCAGTCAGATTATTTCCAATGTAGTTTCACTAAATGATTTGAGTTTTTTTGTGAATGGGTTTGTATATCAGGTTCTGTATATGTTAATAAATGTAAGGAATAAAGTATAAATAAAGCTCTGACACTGTTGCTTAGTCATTTTTGTCTTGTTAAACACATAAATAAAATCAGAAAAGTAAAAGCCAGCGGTCTTATTGCTCAGCTTCTCTCCTCTCCTCCATCATCAGGTGTCTCCTGTCTCCTCCCCACTCATCTGTCATCACAGCAGCAGAACCGTCCTCCCCCTCCTTCTCCCTGACTTGTCTCAGTCCGGTGTCCCCCCCACACAGGACCCAGCGGTCATGGCCGGCAGTCTGACCCAGCAGGGCTCCCCGAACCCGGCCTACAGCTCCAACAGCGCGGTCCTGGTGCCGGTCCCAACTCAAACGGACTCCAGGGACAAGTGGAGCAAGAAAATGGACTTTCTCTTATCTGTCATCGGCTTCGCGGTGGACCTGGGCAACGTTTGGAGATTCCCATATATCTGTTACCAAAACGGAGGTGGTGAGTTGGTCTACGCAGGTGCTCCTGGCTCCAGCTTCTGACTCAGGAGTTTTATAACTTCAGCTATTATTCTCAGCTCCACTTTTGACAATTTGATGTAATAAAATCTACAAATGACCGGAAGTTTCTTAGGAAACGGTCTTTGTGCAGGAACTGTCCGTGGTGCCAAATTACGCACAAGACGCAACAATAACAACTTTTCACAAGTTTTATTTGATAATGTACATTTCTTAATGTTCTTTTCATTTTAAACGGGAAAAAAATCACTTTTGTTAGCATTTTATTTTATTTTATTGTTTATGAACAAAATTATAATATTTTTTTAATTTCCTGCACAGATTTGTCAAGCTTGCCTTTCAAAAGTTGTTGTTAAACCAGTATATGTGAGTGATCCTATTAACAAAATTATTAAAAATTATTTTTGGATATCAAACGACCCATTTTTAATGGGAAAAAATGGCATGAAAAAAGTAATAAGTAGGAAGACTGATCATTTTAAATAGATTGTGAKCAATGAATATAGGATTGAATGGACAAATTTTCCATGTTTCTGAAAGCAGTTCTATTCAGTGAAACTTGTCAGATTCAGTTTTATGATTAGTCTCAGTTTAATGTTTTTAGAGATAAAAAGCGTCGCTTAACAGTCCTCTGCATGCAGGAGCCTTCCTGATTCCCTACGTTCTGATGGCCATTTTTGGTGGCGTGCCCCTCTTTTACATGGAGCTGGCTCTGGGGCAGTTCCACAGAACCGGAGCCATATCCATATGGAAACACATCTGCCCCATTTTTAAAGGTACAAAACGCAACACGGAGCTGCTCCCAAACAGGGAGGTGAAAAATCAATTTAAAGGCCACTTCTTCTCTCAGGTATAGGATATGCCATCTGCGTCATCGCTCTGTACGTGTCCTTCTACTACAACACCATCATCGCCTGGGCCCTCTTCTACTTCTACTCCTCCTTCTCCAGCAACTTGCCTTGGACAAACTGCGACAACGTGTGGAACACCCCTGACTGCACCAACTACTTTGGCACGGACAAYGTCACTTGGACCAACTCCTCCCGGTCTCCAGCGGAGGAATTTTACACGTAAGTGCATGTAAGTGTGAGTCGCATGAAATCACAGGGGTATAAATAGTTATACAGTAACAGTGAAGTATTTGTTGCCAGGTCGGTTATTTCTGCTCCTCTTGCTTTGATGATGACCTGATGATTTATTTGGTTTCGACAGGAGAAACGTCCTGGAGATCCACAAGTCGTCGGGGCTAAGGGACGTCGGGGGAGTTCGCTGGCAGCTCATGCTCTGCCTTTTTCTCATTTTCACCATAGTTTACTTCAGCCTCTGGAAGGGAGTGAAGACATCGGGGAAGGTAACGACGTTCATCCCAGATCAGTTTGACCTCCATGGCTCACCTCTCTGTGCCCCTCYGACAGGTTGTGTGGGTGACCGCCACTTTGCCCTACATCGTGCTCTTCATCCTCCTGATTCGAGGCGCCACTCTGCCAGGAGCCTGGAGGGGAGTGGTGTTTTATCTGAAACCTCAGTGGGACAAGCTGCTGGAGACCAGTGTGAGTTCTGATCATGGTTTAGTTTCCCTGAATCCATGCATCTGTTAATGGAAAGGAACAAACACCAACATCTCTAAAGAGCTTTTCAGGACTTTTTGATAAACATTTCTTCTTCCTAATTTTACCAACTCTCTTGGTCACTGATTGTAAAGATTTTTTCTAAAACGATCTCCTCACCTTCATGTGTGGACGCTTTGTTTGGGAGAGAATATGGATGAGATGAAATGAGATGCATAAATAAGCCACAGAGCGAGATAATAAGATGCATAATTGGTTTAGATTTGCTGCCCGTTGACAAAGGCCTCTCTTTCTGTCTCCCTCGATGCTGCTCTTCTCTTTCCTTTTTTATTGCCGAACGCGAGCTCCTCTTCAGATCTCCCTGCTTTACAGCTGTGCAGCGCCTCATCCTCCCTATGTGGCTGACGCAACAACCCCTCCCGTTAAACCCAAAAGATTGATTTGATTTGATTTATTGATTCAACAGGAAAAGATTACGAAAAATCAAGCCTGACTCAGCATAATTGCTTTTTTACAGCAGTTTCCTGTTCTGCAGCACATAAAACACTCAGAATTACAGCATCACAATCAC